AAGGAGGGGGCTTTGTAGAAAACGAAGCGTTTGAGAGAGGCGGGGCATATAGGACCTACAATAATGTACAGTATTTGAAAAATTATGTGTTTTTTGAACATTAAAGCATGTCAACATATTCTGTTACACCAAATACACAAAATAATGATCTTTAAAAAAGCATCATATGACCCCTTTAATGAAACTCTTCCAACATCAGTTTACATCAGCAATTTTCTCTCCAAACACATCTGGAAGACTAAAACCATTATTTGCTTTTTTTCAATCTTTCCGTAACCTTCTTTTAATACTGTCAGAAGGAGACCAATGATCTAGAAAAATCTAATATATTTAAGCTTCATTTATTGTTGCAATAATTAGCTTTATTTAAATATAAGAACTTGCTTATTGGAGAGTATGAAATCCCCAAAGCATTTCTGCTCATTGGATGATTCTGATTGATGTTCCAGGACTGGAATGTTCCTATTGGGTGACTGTATATCCTGCTGGACAGGATAATAGATCTAGTATAATTATACTAATATAAACCATTCAAACAGTTCCATTTAACTTTTTGACATGATTTCGCTCATTTCAGGGAGGTTTTCCACTCTTTGTCTATAAACAAACTGACATTGTCAGTTGAGCAAGTTGAACTGTTTCATTTAGAAATAAAGAAGAGACCAGATAAGGCTTGATGCAAATGGAGGTGTAAATTCTTAAGATCAGGGTATCAAGGTTTGGCTGGTTAGCTTAACTAACTAGTCTGTGTTTTTGGTCAAATAGGCAAAATGTATTCTCAATTGAAGGCCATTCAAAATCTATGGAAGCCGTTTCCGCCACTGAATAAAAAAAACAAACAAGGTAATTGCGACTTTTTTTCCCCTCACAATTACAGAATTGTGTGATACAAACTCGCAATTCTGACTTTTCTCAGATTTGTGAGACATAAACTTGCAATTGCAAGTTATAAAGTCAGAATTGTAAGATATAAACTCTCAATTCTGACTTTTTACTCACAACTGCAAGTTATACAATCCAATTCTGAGGAGAAAAAAAGACAATTTTCTTAAAATTGTTCCAATTCTCATGAGTTTATATCTTGCAATTCTGACTTTATTTCTCAGAATTGCAAGTTTATATCACACAATTCTGAGATAAAAGTAATAATTACGTTCTTTATTTTTTATTCCATAAAAAACAGCCATGTATTCTGAAATAAACTGAATATAAAATGACAAAAAAAATTCAGTGTATTGTATTAGATGTTCTATCTTTTTGGCAGGCTTTTAACAATGGGAAAAATATATATTTTTCTCTCTCTTCTGCAGAGAGCACTAATATAGTGATCAGTCAGGTGACATTTATGGCTCAAAAGTACTGCTTCAGAACAAAGTGTGCATTAAGTAAAAATAGAGTTGAATATAGATGGAGTTGAATTAGACTTCCTTGTTTTTTATTCATAGCTGATCTCTGATCAATAAAAGCACTCCCTGCCCCTCTCTTTTTCTTTCCTCTCTGTTTATTAAATGAACTCACTGCGATCCTTGTGGAAGCAGCAGTCGTAAACTCTCTGTTCTCGTTGTTTATTTCTCTCACGCTCTCTCTCCTCTCAACATTATTACTTTGTCCTTTTGGTCCTACGCTGTTTGGTGCCCCTGATAATAGCCTGTTTTGAACTAAAATGAAATCATACATTGCTATATCAGGCCATAAGTTATTCATTTATTTTGTCATTTGCCTTGAAATTGATCCTGTGAAGTTGAGATAATGGAATAAAGGTACAAATAAACTTGAATTGAATTGAATTGAATTAAAGGGCTTTCCTGTGCAAAACTCAACTTTGTGGGTTATTCCTATGAAGCACATGTCCCAAACAACATCTATGTCTTATGAATAAACTCAGTTTTTAAAGATCACTATTAAGTAAACAGAGTAAGTTATTAATTATTTTAGTTTAAATGCATGTTGCCATTTTTTGTGTTCATTGTTTTTTTTTTCTTTTAAAAATCGAAATATTGCATATTCACTTGTGCATATTATTTTAACTGGTAATCAATTTTATCTACACTTTCCATTTTATTGGTCTTTTGTGAAATCCCCTTAACAAACAAAAGCCAGTTTCCCTAAGGACATCATTTTGGTTGGCAAACAGCAGCACAAATGTCAGTAAGTATTAGCTATGGATTTGAATAATTATGTCACTCTAAAACATTCAAAATCAACTACAGGTTAAAAAGTGTTCAAGTTTTAAAGAAAGACCTCAATCCTTCACTGAGCAATGACTAACTTTAGCTCCATTGTGTAAATACTAGAATGAATAAAGTTGAAGTGTCTGATCTTGACCAGAGCATATATCTGATGGTCCGCTATACCCTTTTATAGAAATACTTCCATAATACAGCTGTGGAGCTGTGGAACAGTCCCTATAGTGATTGTAAAACGTCAATGTAACTGAAGGAGCGTTATAATGCTGATGGGTTTTCCTCCGATTCACCTTATAATGCGTTTGTGTCTGTAATGTGTTCTCAGACAGGGAACTGACCCAGAACTGCTGATTTGATCAGATTTTCATGTGCTTTGCGTCAGTTCTCTGTTACTCGATCCTAATTGACAGGTGTGGTCAGGCATTGGTTTGCACATTCTGGATCCAGTTTTCCACAGTCATGCCACACCTACCCATCATGCATCACTGCCAGACAGATGAGGTTGGCATAGATTCTAACATGCTTTCACTGCTGACGTAAATCAGACCAGAAGACCCTTGAAAACTACGTCAGTGGGGTTGTAAGGTACAGCTTAACTTTGCTTATTCAAAGGCATGGCATGGCATTACCGTATTGACCCGAATATAAGACGATGTTTTTTTCTTGGAAATACATCTGAAAAAAACGCGGTCGTCTTATATTCGGGCCAATACGGTAGTACCACTCTATTTATAGTAATCACACATTTGATTAATAATGTTACCTTTTATTTTAAATGTTTCCAGTTTATATTTTTTTAAATGCTTCATTATTTAGGCTACCTCACGGTGTTTCATTGTTGTTGTTGCAAATTGATTGCTACTCACATAAAGCTAACGCCTTAATTTGTGATGCTGATGCAAGTTATTTTCCTTGAATGTGTGAGACTTTCAATTGAATAGCTGCTATATAAATTACTAGAAGAAAGAATAAAGTGCAGTAAACTGTAAACTATTTGTGCTATAAACCAGTGTGTTTATGATTATGATAATGAATTAAAATATAGTAACAAATACCAATATCAAACAGCATAACGGTCTGTTATTGTACAGGTAAAATAACTGGAAGCAAATGAGACCGGAAGTCTCGCACATTAAATTTACACCTGCCATTAGCCTGGTTGTGGCTAAAAGGGATACAGCTAAACGATAAAGCTAACAAGTTCAATTTTATACTATTAGATTGTGTTTTATTAACGTCTACACCTACCCCAACCCATACCCCTTACAATAATGCAAAAACAGTAATTATTGTTGTACAGTGTGACAAAAATTATGCTATTGATGTGCGCATGCCCAGTATTCGAATCTGTATACCATCTAGCCTTAACCAATTAGCCTATGTTAAAAATAAAGTGGATAGCATCATATGGACTACTTTAAATACTTTTTGTATGCTTCTTTTTTCTTTTTTAACTAGACCGCTTTAGAATAAAATCAAGTTCAGGTTTTGGAGCAACATGACCATTCCAACGGTTTTTGAAAGGCAAGCTGGCTTTCCTAAAGCAAGCCTGTCTGGTTATGTTATGATAGATGAGCACATTTGGCAGCACTGCGCACTTGGACTCCATTAAACGTCATAAGAATGTGGCTGTGAGCTCAAGCGTCTCTGGCCGGGACTCAAATCCTGTGAGGAAGGACGTGAGGATCTCGACTCCCTCAACCTCTGTCACAGATCCTCCTGGCGCGTGGCCACGCATGGGGTCCGCTATTTAAACCGGACTCAGCTGACAACCCCGTTACAAGCCAGAGAGACTCGAAGAAAAGCGAGGAACGGGCCGACGCGCTCCGGGGTGAAACATCCCGGTGAGTAACTAACTTTAATGTAAACTCTTATAAAGTCACGAAAAGACATAAAAACAATATTATAAACATTTAATGCTTAAAATGTGCACTTTCAAACATAAATTGGCCTACGTCTTTTTAAATCATGTCTAAATATTGGAGTGATGTATAAATGTTAATAAAGTTATTATAAAGTGATTTTTTTTTTTTACTTTGTTAGTTTAGGCACTCTGTTTTTTTCTAAGATGTTAAACCCGGTTGTGATGCAGTCTCCAAAATTAATGTTTGTCAAAGATTTTTTTTTTTATTCACCATTTAGGTTGTTTTAGTCTTAACCTTTTTTTTTAACAGTCGTTTATTTAATTAAAAAAAAATTTTTTTTTTAACAGATATTTATTTTTATTTCTTCCTCTCGTTACTATTATTATTATTATTATTAGCCTATTGTCATTACTACTACTACGATTACTTGTAGCCTACATCATTGAAAGGACTACATTTTAACTTTCTCTCTCTCTCTGTAATTTTACAGATAACCGTTTCGTTCGTAGTAATGGAGTTGGCGCGCAACGCCTCCGCGCTTTCGTCGCAGCAGACCAACCGAATCGCCTTGCCCGGTGGAAGCGACAGTAACGCGTATTTGTACATCGTCATCGTGGTGTCTTTCTACGGAGTCTTCCTCACTGGGATCATGCTCGGTTACCTGCGCACCAAACGGCGCGAGAAGAGGCGCACGAACGCCTTCACGCGGCTTCTGCACGAGGAGGAGCAGCGTGAGTGGGGCGCGAGCCAGAAGAAGCACAGCTTCAGCCTCCCCGCGTTTCCCGCCCTGCGCTCCACGCCGGTGCCGTTCATGCGGGAACCGGGAACCGGCGGCAGGGTTCTCGCGCCTCTGGCGTGCGCGCTGTGCTCGGTGGAGCAGAGCAGCGTGAGCTCCCTCAGCTCCGTCGCCGATGTGCGCTTCGCCATTGAAGAGGAGTCTGACAGCGGCGGACACAGTGACGGACCGTCCCGGGAAAACCTCAAAGAAGCGCTCTGAGGTTCCCGCTGCAAACCGTTACTATGCCGTTTACTATGGCAACCATATTTCCCGCCGAAAAGCAATGATTAGTCTACCACAGTTAATGTTACTGCAAATAAAACTGTTTTAAGTTGGTACTAGCCACCGTTGTAATAAAAAATGAATTACTGTTTTAAGAAAATCCTGTGTTAATTTATTGAGGTTTTACTGTTGTAAATAACTGTAGTAACTTGGCGGGAACTGTGGTTCACGTGATGAAAGTTCTCCGAAGTGCCTTGATGGAAAGTATGAACTCTTATGCCAGAAACAGATTTTTACACAAGCACATATCTTGTGATATAAATTGGATTTGACACGTCTTGGAATAGGCTACAATGACGCACGAAATTCAAATTGTGTTACTATTGTGTATTTCCTCGCATACTTGTGTGAAGTATGTTTCAGGCCTTAAGCGCGATGTAAACATTGAGATAAACCTGGAAGTCACTTGAAAAAAAAAACTTTTAAAATTCAATTTACTTCAAAGGCCTATATCGTCATTCACACAGATGTGTAAATGATTTATAAAAATTAAAAAAAAGATCTGTATATATTGTTCTACGTGCATGGATATGTCTATTTAAATTTGACCTTATTTTATGTGTAAACTAAATAAAATGTTCCTTCAGAATGTGAAGGTTTTGTGGCCGTCATGTTTGCACTTACCGCTTATTGTCACTTGGGGGAGTCAAAGACCACCGGGGCTTCTCTGGGGAATTTTTCTCACAGATTAGGGTTTTTGAAGCTTTATACACCTAGTAGGAACTATATGTAAAACGGATTTTCTTAGTAACATTTTAAGACATAAGCATTCAGAAATGTAATTAAATGTTTCAAAGAAAATTATTTTAGATATTTTCAGATGCAGTTAGACATTCGGAACCCTTTTGCAGATGAGAAAAGATTATGAGAGGCTCTTGGCGTCATTGTAGAGATAAAGATCTTTCAAGCGTCCACTCCTGAAACATTTTTCATTCTATTATTCCCCTTGAGAATAGGCTAGATATTCATTCAGGGACAAAGGGGGTTTTCTATATTTCATGATTCTGTGCTTCTACACAGATCTGCATGATTATTACTAGAATCCTTCATAATCATCATCCTCACAGTCTTTGTTATCCTAATGAAATGACATCACATGCACAAGTGTCAGTGACCCGTCTTCCGCCCCAGGGAGTGCATTGGAAAGTTCTCGCATGTTCCGTCTGAGTGGCTCGTTTCCAATAAAAATTTACTCCGTTCATCTGATGCGAGTTGAATGCAGTATTAGGAAAGTTTTTTTAAGTAAAATATTCAGCTTTTGACACCGATATCACCTCAAAAGACAGATGACCTGTTGGTCTTCCTGCTTTTTAAAGTGATGAGTAAAAAGTGAAACCCAGCTGTTGCTGTGGTGAACTTGAAAAACATTTCATTTTGTTTTTTTGAGTTACATAAAACAATAATGAATAAAACTTCCGAACAAAACACTGCATGTGAATAATTTACTGAGTCATTTTTGCCTTATCAAAGATCATGAATAATAAACCATGTCATGAAAATCAGATTTTATCTAAAGTCAAAATACAAACAGCACGCTTACACGTGCGGTCACTTCCAGCTGTCTCCGTTTATGGCCCAACCTTATGCTCCCTCCCAGATAGATTAACCACGCCTTCTTTCTTTGCGTTCACATTTGGGCTGCATTATGCTAATATTTCCACATAGTGACGTAGATATGTGGGGGCGTGTTAGAACGAGCCGTTTTAGGTAGGCGTGGCTGACTCTTAACTTTTATAAAGAATATCTCTTTGGATTTGAGACTTTAGTCTTTGCAACTTTACAGATCTTCTTTATGCACCAAGAGCTTGTAACACTCCAAAGAGAAAGGAAAACTTGAAATCACATCATATGACCCCTTTAAATGATTGCGACTGCGTGAAAGACAGAACGTGGGAGTCAGAAGAGAGGCTAGTGTGACTCATACTCCCAACAGAGGAAATGAAATGCACATCCTCCCTCTCTATGCTTCTCTTCTGTGGCTCTGTAACATCTATGGCATGAATGGAGTGTTCAGAATCAGTTTTATTGTTTCTGTGCTACAGTAACTGTTGTATTGTTAACAGGACAGCGGTTACTGACCCGGGAACAGCTTTTTTATGATGCATTTGACTTTTATCATCCAGTGTTTTTTCTAACACAGTGGTTCTCAAACCTCTCCATGAAGTACCCCCAGCACTGCACATTTTGTATGTCTCCCTATATCTGACACACCCACTTCAGGTCTTGCAGTCTCCACTAATGAGCTGATGAGCTGAATTAGGTGTGATAGATGAGGGAGACATACAAAATGTGCAGGGCTGGGGGAACTTCAGGACAGGTTTGAGAACCACTGCTCTAACAGTATGTTCTGGCTCTGCATACAATGAAGTAGCTAAAGGGAAGCTGTCAATCACAGCAAAGGGCATAAGTGGTTCATTGGCACTGTATTCCAATTTCCAATTCTTCTGAATTCATGATAGCGTTGTGGAACAAACTGAAAAATTATTTAGCCTACTGAAAATTCACATAAGCAGCTTTTAAAACTTCAGTCTCGATCAGTCAGCTATGCAAATGCGAATTAATCGGACAGGAAGATTAATCTGCGAAAAGCAAAGTATTGTAAGTGTTCCTAGAACAATATCTTCTGATTTCAGAGGACTTGAAAGTGTTCCGAATCCCATCATGCATGTCAGGGCTAGTTAACTCCGGTCCTGGAGGGCCAGTTATCTGCATAGTTTACTTCCAACCCTTATCCAGCACACCTGATAATCATTTTTAAATAGTCCTGAATACTTTGATTAGCTTGGTCAGGTTTGTTTAATTAGGGGTGGAACTAAACTCTGCAGGACAGCGGCCCTCCAGGAGCCGAGTTGAAGAGCCCTGATGTTATTGTGCAAACCTGTTTCATTTGAGGGACTTGAACACGAATGTTTAGCCCACATGTTAACAGTACAATTCTACAAATGATCTCAGATCCCTTTAAAGCGAACCAAAACCGTCTTCGGAGGTGGTCTGATGGTTTCTTACAACATGCTTTGCGAACACGAGCGCTTCGGGCCCGTTTGAATTTCTCATTCGCAAATTCCTAAGTTTTGATCATTACTCTTTCCGTCCCTTGTCAAAAAATCCTATTGGAATTTCAGCTTATCCTTTAGGATCTTACTGGATTCTTAGAATCCTATTGGACATTCTGATTTATTTAAATGGAATTTCACTTTGTCCTGTAGGATCTTATTTGATTCTGTTAATTAATTACTTTTTAAGAGTAACTTTACTTTTTTAGAGTAACACCGCTTGTGCTACAATAAAAATGCAGTCTACATAAATACACAAATATAAACACTGAAATTCATAATACAGTAAGGCAAAGATAATAAATATGATATTTTATAATTACGAATACATTTAAAATATATTACATGTGACTAAGAATTCATAGAGAAACAAACATCTATATATGGTATTGTCCTGACGCTTCCCCTTTAAGAAATCCGAATGTAGAGCGCGTGCAACTGTAGCGCGCATACTTTGAACAGTAACGGTCAAAAAAGCTGAGAAATCGAGTGATTAACGTTGTTTAGCTTGTTAAAAGTTTATTTAAAGACGCTAACATAATTTCTCATTCGCAAATTCCTAAGTTTTGATCATTACTCTTTCCGTCCCTTGTCAAAAAATCCTATTGGAATTTCAGCTTATCCTTTAGGATCTTACTGGATTCTTAGAATCCTATTGGACATTCTGATTTATTTAAATGGAATTTTACTTTGTCCTGTAGGATTTTATTGAGAATCTTATTGGACATTGTGTTTTATGAGATTTTAATTTCTCCTGTAGGATCTTTTATTGACTCATATAATCTTATTGTACATTGTGATTTTTAAATGGAATTTCACTTTGTCCTGTAGGATCTTATTTGATTCTGTTAATTAATTACTTTTTAAGAGTAACTTTACTTTTTTAGAGTAACACCGCTTGTGCTACAATAAAAATGCAGCCTACATAAATACACAAATATAAACACTGAAATTCATAATACAGTAAGGCAAAGATAATAAATATGATATTTTATAATTACGAATAAATTTAAAATATATTACATGTGACTAAGAATTCATAGAGAAACAAACATCTATATATGGTATTGTCCTGACGCTTCCCCTTTGAACAGTAACGGTCAAAAAAGCTGAGAAATCGAGTGATTAACGTTGTTTAACTTGTTAAAAGTTTATTTAAAGACGCTAACAAGGAAGAAATAGATTTAAATGGAATTTCACTTTGTCCTGTAGGATCTTATTTGATTCTGTTAATTAATTACTTTTTAAGAGTAACTTTACTTTTTTAGAGTAACACCGCTTGTGCTACAATAAAAATGCAGCCTACATAAATACACAAATATAAACACTGAAATTCATAATACAGTAAGGCAAAGATAATAAATATGATATTTTATAATTACGAATAAATTTAAAATATATTACATGTGACTAAGAATTCATAGAGAAACAAACATCTATATATGGTATTGTCCTGACGCTTCCCCTTTAAGAAATCCGAATGTAGAGCGCGTGCAACTGTAGCGCGCATACTTTGAACAGTAACGGTCAAAAAAGCTGAGAAATCGAGTGATTAACGTTGTTTAGCTTGTTAAAAGTTTATTTAAAGACGCTAACATGGAAGAAATAGTAATACTTATCTGATCTGCATCCAAACGATGAACGTTTGTTCTTTGGGTGAACCATATCTGTTGGTGAGTTGTTGAGCTGGTTTTATTGTATCTGCTGATTAGTACAGGAGTACAAATGACACAACAACAAACGCTGTAATTGAACAACATGGAGTCCCCAGACCAATACAATTACTGTGCCTCCTCTATTTTAAAACCCACAAGCCGCCACTGCTACTTTGTCCACCTCTGAATATATGAACAGAGAAAGAGACAGCTGCCTTTCTCCAAATTTGGAAGGTCTATATGATGAAACAACTATCACTTACAGATGGAAATATAAAAGTTTTTCTTCAGTTTTCAGCAAAAACATAAGAGCATTGCACTCGTACCTTTTTTAAATAGCGGCACTCCCCCGCTGAATCTTTAGTGCAACCAGAAACG